AGACTGAGACAAGGCTCCAAGGCTTCTGGGTTATTTGAACTCATTAGATACTCTCCCCTGAGTCAGGTCAATTCTTACCACTGTTACTTTTCTCTTCAGTGGATGATGAAACCAGCCTGAGGGATTTGAAATTGCAGAGGCAGGTGGGAGGGTCCAGGCCTCTGGCTCACTGGTTTATAGCTGAGAACCGCAATTGGCTGGGGCACCGGAAGTGACATCACAGCAGCAGACTGCAACAAAGGGCCAGCAGGAAACACATGGTCTTTGTTCCCACCTGTGAAAACCAGAGCTCAATTCTCTACTCTCCTGAGCTGCAGGGTTCAGGGAAGTGGAAAACAGATGGTCCTTTACAAGGAGCCCGATAGCATTGTTTGTGCCCCCCCCCACACACACACACCAGCAGCAGGAAGTATTCCTTGGGGAACTGGGAGGGAGGCTTTCAGTAGCTGGCCAAGAGCTGGAAGAATGTGCTTATAGTGACTATTTACACCTCTTCTCTTATAGTACAGCCTTGAAAGTATCTCCATTGTCTTTGTGCTGCTGCTCCTCCCAAGGTTCCCAAGAAGCCCGGAGCTGAGCCCCACGGGGCATGCGCGTGCTTGTGGGGGTGTTAGGGAAGCACGCTTTAGAGGGGTCTGGAGCACAGGGCATGATCAAATCTAAAATTATTCCCTATTCCTATATCCTCTTTTCCATTTTAAATGTACTCTGAAGTCCAAGACTTACCTGAGTAGCCACAGCTGCCGTGTATGTTTCTGGACTAAAGCCCAGAAATCAAGATTTCTGTCTACAGCCAGCTTTGTGGTACCAAGATCGACCTTCATCCTCCAGGGGGTCCCTGGGGGGAGGGATGCCAAGAGTCCTGCATCCATGAGAGAATATTTGCCATGCTCAGAATTAGAGGCTACTAGCAAGAGATAAAGGTGTGAGGGATGTGACCTCTCCCCAGCGCCTTTCCTCCAGATTCAGAGGGTGTGTGTGTTCGTGTAGTGCCAATGCAGAATCCAAGGGGTGGAGTGAAGTTCTTCTAGGCACAAAGGAAATAGAGATTTGCATGGTTCTGAGGTCTGCAGGGAGACAGCTATTGCTTTTGATTTGCCTGAGAATGAGAAATTGCTCACAAATGGGACAATGTCTAAGTGACAGTCTCTAGTCATCCAAAGCCATGTCCTGGAATCTTATGACTAAAGACCCAAGGACCACCCAGTTAGGACAGCACATCCCATTCTGTATTTGTCCCCAGATGCCACATGGATGTCTCTTGTCATCCCTTGAATGGAGTATGTTCATGGCCCATCTTCCTCTCTGTCCTGTCCCTATCAAATAATCTCTCCACAGGTGATTACATCCAGTCCCACAGAAATCAGTGTTTATTCGATACACTCTCTGGTTTATCGCTCCACTCTGAGGCAATAGTGGACACCTCTACTCTGAGTCTTTTAGACATCTTCTCAACATGTTTGTGCAATGCACACTGTCCTCAGGCCTGCTTGCTTCTTTTCTGCATTAGTTCTTATTTGGGACTGAAAGCCTCACCCACACTCCCATGGCACTCCCGTGGGAAGACTGAGGGCATGATACTCCACCAGCTCACAGGCCTACTTAACTGGGTTTCCAGATGGCAGGTGTGGGTAGCATACACTGGAATCCTAGGACTTGAGAGGCTGAGTCAGGAGGACTGTGAGTGTGAGCCCACCTTGGGCTACCTAGTGAGAGCCTGTCTCCACATCTGTCCTGCCTAAGACAACCCTTCTATGGTTCTGTTTATGTTAGAATAAGACACAAACCGCTTCTTACAAGACCCCTGGCTTTCTTCCGCTACAGTGAGCTGCCTGCATTTCTAATTGGCCACAGCTCTGAAACTGTTCATTCTCACAGGCTCCTTTCCCCTAAATCCAAACCTTATCTCCCAGCTTGTCTGACTCCTCCCCTCTCCTTGTATGCTATCAGAATAGCATAGAAGACTTGATAAGTCTACGTATCAAGACTTAAGTAGCATCTTTCCTCCCCCAGACCTCTGAGATGCTCCTCCTACATATCTCCCGTGTAGCTTTCTGTGTCGTTGACCACAACACCAATGGCTTAAGTTACTTCTCCAAAGTGGGACCTGGGTGACTGTGTATCTCTACTCTGGGGGAGGAGCTAGTCTTTCAGTATATGAGAAATATACACATATTTGATAGATCAAAATAGGAAAAAAATGTTCTCAAAAATTTCCTGTGTATGGGAGTGGGGATCTCGGGGTTTTAAGATATTACACTATGTTTATGTGACTTACAGAAGGGACAAATTCGGAAGGTCTTAAGGATCCGAACAAATTCTCCTCAATAGCTGATTTCTTATTATTTCCAGCCACCACATTTCCACCTTGCTGTAAAGAGTGGACCAACTAGCTGCTATTCAGACATGGATATCTGACAAAAGCTTGGGCATAGATTCCAAGTTTAGGGAAAATAAGCCAGAGAACTTAATATCAATGAGTCAAAGCTGATGATGTCCCTGAATATGCTCCATTGGCGCATCGTGCAAAACTGAAGCTCACTGTGGGGCTTAACAAAGAAGCTGCCATCTGTGCTGATAGGAGGAAGGTGACCATGAGTGGAAGTAGCAACCCAGGGAGTGTGGGGTAGGGTCAGGATGTCCCATTGCGTTAGGAGAAGGAACTGCAAAGTTAGGCAAGATGCTGGCTGACCCTCTCCTGCTCCTGACTGCAATTGCTTGGCACTTTAGCTGCTAACAGGTTAATGATACACACGCACGCACACACACACACACACATCTCATCCATACAGAGAGAGAGAGAGAGAGAGAGAGAGAGAGAGAGAGAGAGAGAGAGA